CAGGTGCAAAAAAAGCAACACACTTTTTAATGATGCAAATGGATTGGCCTCTGCACCCAGCCTGCTCATGGTTGGCACTAAGACATTGCAATGGGCCATCCTGCTGCAGCTGAAGCACCCTGAGGTTCAAAGTAAGGGACTTTTATGCATTTGCTTTTCTTACATAGAGTACTGAAGTTCTCAGTAATGACCCTGAATGTGATGCTCACCTGTAAAAGCTTCATAGCCTCTCATGCATCCAAAATCTGAGCACCTGGAACCTGCCCACCTCTGTCTAAGCACTGTATGCTGCTGTTGATGACCAAAAGACCTGAGGGGTTGTTCTCTCTCTGCTCCCAGGAGCTGGGCAACCTCCTGCTCTGAGATAGTCCAACCAACAGTCAGCACGAGCTGGGACTGGAGGTGCTTTACCACTGAGGGAAACCCACTTCATGCCTTTCCTTTGCCCACAGGAAAGGTGCACACAGAGATTGAATTCCTGGCCCTGGCTGCTCTTGTACCTTTGAGGACCAGAAAAGCATGCCATTTACCAATGCAATGACCCATGAGGTGCAGAGATTTGTCACCCTCCCACCACAAGTTGCACAGTGCACCTCTCTTGACACCCACTTTAAAGGCTATTTCATCCCCAAGGTACCTGCTGCTCTCCAGATGAAGGGGGTGCAGCACAGCAGTGACACACGAAGTGTCACAAGGAGTGGGGGAGCTTGAGGCACAGAGATTTTAGTGAGAAAGAGACAGTTCCCTAATCCTCTGTCTCCTCCATGCCCAGACTGATGGCAGTGTGACTTCAGGGTTATGCAGACAACTTCCCATTTCCCATAACTCAGTTTTCGTAACCTGGAGTCATTTCCTGTTCTTGTTCTCCATTGCCTTCATTCCCAGTGGAGCACCTCTGCCCCTGGAGTGCCACCACATTGTCTCCTTGCCTGCGTGAGGCGAGCAGAGAGCAGCTGGGCAGGAAGGAAGCCTGGACCACCTCTTCCTTCTGCTTCATCACTCAGGAGCAGCCAACAAGCACTTCTGGTCAGCGACAGATGAGTCAGTCATTCCCAGGGAAGCCGGTATCCGTGCTAACGAAGGGTCACTTGGTCATGTGCAAGCCCAGAAATGAGTTCTTCAGCAAGAGAAGTTTGCTTGCAGACACAGCCCAAAGGGAGGGATGGTGCTGTGGTGAGATGGGCAAAGCCAGAAGTTGCTGCATCCAGACGTGCTGCAGCAGAGCGTGCTGGTGGTGCCGGGAACAGCAGCGATTCCCTGCTCACCTCCCTGCTGCTGAGTGAAACCCAGCGGGAGACACTGGATGAATTCAGCCCCAACCATCTCCTTTATGCGAACGGGAACTTCACACAGAAGAAAGTGTTCCCGCCCTTCTCCAGAGGTCAAGAAAGCGCTGGACCCTGCAGGGGGCAGCCGGTGCCTCCCGGGAGATGCCAGCCGAGGGGCTCCGCAAGGGCTCGGGGAGCAGCTGTGCCCTCCTGCCCAGCCCCGGGGGTGCTGCCCGGGCTCTGTGCCCCGGGGGACCGGGCAGCGCTGCCCGGCGCTCGCACACGAGGGGTCGCGGTGCCACCTCGTGGCCGAGGGAACCGCGCACGGCCCGGCGGCTCCGCCCGCGGGGCTGCAGGGACAGGGCGGCACCTGATCCCTGTCCCTCCGAGCGCAGGAACCCCTGGGCACGGCATCGGGCAGCAGGGGGGTGGCAGGGACGGGATTCCCGGGCGGGAGGCACCGACCCAGCGGGCGGTGGAACCGCTCGGCTCTGCCCTAAAACCAGGCAGCTCGTCCTGCCCCCGGTGTTTGCCTTCCGCTCAGCTCCGCGCGTTGCAAACGTGTTTTGTGGCCAGAGGGAAGATCCTCAGGGCTACTGAGGAATGTGGAAATAGTATTTCCACCCCCGAGCCGACGTTTTCTGCTACGTAAACATGTAGATGAGTCACAATCAATGTTCTGCCATCGTTTGGCTGAACAAATAAATGGGAGGCAAGCAGACACTTTCTTTTGCATAGGTACATTCAGCTGGGGAGTGATCACTTTTCAAAGGAATCAAAGAAGCTTGTTTCCCATGGATGGCTGCACTGGCAGCTCCTGGCTCTGGCTCTGACAGGGATATTGCACAGGCTGCTGGGGCCCTGTGCCCAGCTCTGCCTGCCTGGCAGGGCCACTGCAGAAAGGGATGGCCAAAGAGAGCAGGCTCTGAAGGCTGCTGTGCTGTGTAGGAGGGGATTCGTCTGTCTTATTCAAAGCCAGAACCCTGGCACCCTGTGGCAGGGGGTTAGGGCTCAGGTCCCACCAGTGCATTTGTGCAGATTTGAACCCAGCCCGGTTTCCTTGGCCAGAGCACCAGACTGTTGCCATATCTGTCTTTTTGAGTTCATGTTACTTTTGGAGGGGGCTAAAGCAGGAGCAGCCCTGGCCTCTCTGAAGCCAAAGGCCAGTCTTCATTTTATTTCGGCGAGGCCAAGGCTCCCTTCATTGACTCAATGTGTGGATTGCTTCTCTGCTGCTTCACCTGTCTCTCCCCACCTTCCCTGAAAAAGACCCCATCCTGCTGCCACCACTCCTCAAGAGTGACATGGCCAGCAGGTGGTGCCTTGAGAGGACAGAGGCGAGAGGTCCAAAGCACTAAACAGAGGGACAGCACCAGCATCAGGGAAGCTGTGGTGGCAACCTTTTATTCAGCCTCTGCAACTAAGGGATGCAAGTAAAACTTACAATATTTGTTGCCACTCTGGGCTCAGGATCAACCTTTCATGGCATTTGCATTTCTGTGCAATGCAAAGTTGGGTAGCAGGCATATGAAATTGAAGACATGGGATTAAAACTTTATTTGGTTCCCATGAAGGGAGAAACAAACCATATGATAAAGCACATGATAAGACAATGCATATGGAGTAGGGGCAACTCACAGGCAGATAAGTGGATGGAAAATTGCCTGAGCTCTACATCAACTGGAATAAGATTGCGGAATATGATGGCAGATAAGAGTGTTACAGCCAGGGAAAACAGCCAGACAAAGTTACAGAGGAAAGGAAAACAACCAAAACCAGGTCTCATCTGATCCCTGATCCCAGTTCTCCTTGCCTCTCTGTGTGTGTGCAATACAAGCACCGTGAAATTAGACCCCATTTGCAAGGGAATTGCATGGCTGGTTCTGATGGCCAGACCATCCCAGATACCAGACTGATGGCTCCCAACAGCACCCAGGAGGTCTGAAGAGAGGAACAATGGTTGCTTCTATTTAACAGGGTCAGGAAAGAGAGAGATCCATAAAACTAGAAATGGGTCAGTGTCATTAGCCTTTTATGATCTCAGGCAGACTTATGATTTAGAACAAACTTAGAAATGTAGATCTTCTTTCATTCAGACTGTCAAGTGTGTTGAACTTGGTAGTAACAGCACTAGCATATCTAAATGGGCTTGCAGACTCTGGGGCATCTTTCAGGACACTGTTCCAAGGCAGAAACAACTTTGTCCTCAAATCATAAGAATTTATCTGTTTTTTCACTCTCTGTGTTTTACTTCCCTGCCTGGGATCCTGGTAGGATTTTGCTAGAAGCTACGGATAATTAAGGAGCTTGGAAATGTTCAGGAAGTACCTACAGATGGTTCAAGTGTGTGACCCAAAGTGTATTTCTGTGTCTTTAGCAAATGGTGGTGTGTCTTTCCTTGGGATTTCAGGCAGCTCTGTGTGACATTATGAACCTCACACCTCCTACTCATGGTCCACATCCCCTTCACCAGACCACCTCCTTGGTCCCTCCATTGGCTCCATGTACAGTTTGTCTTGAGAAGTGTGTGCTGGCCAACCATGATCATGGGTTTCTAGCTGATCACATGCACCCCTCACCACACAGGAGCAAAGAGGGGGTCAGCACCATGTGGGGTAGTGGTGGAGAGCAGTGGAGTGAGAGTGGATGGGGACAGTGGGAAGGGGACGTGGAAGAGGGTGATGTGGCAGGATGGGAGGTGGTGATTCCTCGCATAGCTAAGTTGGATCTAAGCAGCTTCCCCACTTGTTGGATGCTCTTCAGCAAGGCTGTGGTTATTCACGCAGGACAGCACAGGTTGCCTGAGGCTGAGGCCTCAATGTGAAAGTCGTTTGGGGGACAGTGAGGTCCAAGTCAGACTCTGAAATTCCTGGCTGGGGTTGAAATGTAAATGTCTGCAGCAACCCTACAAAGAAGACAAACAGCTCCATCTTGGCGAGGCTTTCTCCAATGCAGTTCCTTCTCCCTGCAGATGAAAGCAGTGTGTTGTGCATTCAGTTGCCAAATTGCTTTTTGACTGAGTTAAAGGCAGTACTTAGCCATAAAGACCATGTTAGTATATGTTGTAATGAAATGGTCCTGCCACAGCCTGAGCTCTGTGCAGATCAGCCCCATAGTTACCTGTGGAGAAGGGCAGGAAAGCCTCTCTCTTGACAAAATTCCCTTCAGCATCAAGGAAGTGGTTGGGGTTGAACTGATGTGGTGTTTCCCATTGTGTTTTGTCCAGCAGCACTGAGGTGAGCGATGGGATTACAATTATTCCCTGGAAGAAAAGTACATGGAGGCACAAAATCTAGCAAAAGTGCTCTGTTTTGGTTCATTTTGTGACACACACTGTGGTGTCCCAGGAGATTTGCTCCACCTGGGGTAGGTGGAGACCTGGAGGGTTTTATCCCATTAGCCAGTAGAGAGAAGTCAGTGAGGTTTTCCCAGCAGTGCCAAGGATGGAAGCCAAAGCCCATGAGGTGCTGTGAAAACCTCAAGCAGAAGGTCAGACCCTGTAAATTCCCTGGCAGATACTTCACTGTGCAGATGGCATCAAGGAGGTAAACCAAGGTCACTCATGGAGTGAGGAAGTCCTGAGCATGAGGGGGACTGAACAGACTCTTAAAATACCAGCCTCTCTTGACTCAACATAGTCACTGGAGAGGAAGAAGCTCTTCTGGGGGTAATTTTGGATGCTCACTTTGGGCTTCAGTCCTATAATTCTCTCTAGAGAAACCAGTCTTTAATGGCACGAGCAGAAGTGAGGAGGGTGGTGGGTTCCTGGATGGAGCAGTTACCTACCTTGGGAAGGAAGTAGCCTCTGAAGTGGGTGTCGACAGCGGTGCAGCGGGGAACGTGGGGCAGGAGGGTGATAAACCTCTGCACCTCGTGCAGCACCGCGTTTGTGAAGGGCATGTGCTTCCGATCCTCGTAGGTGGCCCAGCTCCCAGCTTTGACCGTTCTCCCAATCTCCTCCTGCACCTTTTCTGGAAGGAACAAAGAAAGGGGATGTGCCCCAGCAAGGAAGCCAACTGCCTACTCAGATTTGGTTTGGGGAAAAAAAATATTTTTCCAAGGTCTGGAGGGAAGGGATTGTTAAAAAAGCCAGCCTGGATTTCCCTGCTGTAGTTCTAGTTCAGAACTGTGGATGGCTTTTTCCCCCAGGATCATATTTTGAGCTCCACTCATCCTCTCTTCCAGTAAGGCACAGGGACTATTTTATTGTGACTTCAGTCAGCATCTAATTACAGCACAAGTTTATAATAATGAAGAGATGGGTTTCAGCTCTTAAGGCAGAAGAGCTTCTGTGGATCTGCAGCCAGGCCTCTCCCCTCCCCACATCTGCCATGGATGGAGTGTAGGTGACAGGAGCTCACTTTGAATCTCCGGGTATTTCATCATCAGCAGGATGGCCCACTGGAGTGTTGTGGCTATGGTCTCTGTTCCTGCCATGACCAGGTCAAGTATGGATGCCATTAAGTTGTCATCATGGAAGAGGCTGTCTTTCTTGTTTTTCTCCTTGAAAAACACAAGTGGTAAGAAAGGTCTTAAAACCATCAGTCTGAGTATTCAGCAGGCTTGGAAATACTGCATAGCCTATGGCACTGTGGGCTGTGACCTTGTGTTTGTGAACTGGAGGGTAAAGTAGAATGTGCGACATTCACCAAAGATGGGAACACCAAAGATGGAAGGTTTGGAGTGGTGTTTTGATTCAGCATCCATCCCCACCCAGATGAAGGGCAAAGCCCAGGCCAAAATGCCGTTTACAGACTCAGCCTCAGAGGTTTGGGAAGAGCCCAGTCTCTCCCCTATACAGAAGGAGTTTCAGCTAATCCCAGCTCTGATGGACTTTTCTTGTCCAAGGGCAGGACTGAATCCCAAACAACGTTCAGAATGATCTTTCAGGCCATTTCTGCTGGGCTTTAGGACTGTGCTGACCCTTCCTCCATATAGAAGTAGAAGACTTGGTGCCTAAGGTTGGCCTAGATCTAGAAAGAAGAAAAAACTCAGAACACAAGTATTTTGTGTTGACAACTGATACCTGAAACTGCCAAGTCTCTTCTGAAGTAAGATGCAGGGCAGGACTAGGACTTGTGCTGATGATTTATCATTCAAGTACTTTAAGTGCATAGTTTATCTTGGAGCAACAGTGTCAATGGTCAATTGACTTTTTGTCATGCAAAGAAAGGCAGAGTCAGCTTGCACGTGAATTCATGCATCTTCTACTGGGAACAAAGAGTTGATCTGGCATGATTACCTCTGCTACTTCAGGACTGGACTGAGACTGTGGCTTTCATATCTTACTTTTGATAGAAAAATCTCTGCAGTAAATGACACCAAATGTAGAAGACTGGCATCTGGTTTCAATACCACTGCAATAACAGCTTAGGTTTTTGTGACATGACTGAAATCAAGACTCAGCAACTGGTTTAGCTCAGAAATCTAAAGGAAACATTGCAAGCAGCCAACAGAGCTAAGCAGTCAAATACCTCTTGTTGCTTGAATATCAGTGCATCAATGTAGCTCCTCACGCTGTTCTCATTGATGTCCTCCCTGCTTGCCTTCATGTATTGCCTCAGAATGACACGCACATCTTCTATTTTCGCAAGCATAATCTTGTGGGTTTTGAAAAGAAATCCAAGGAATGGGTAGTAATTGAAATACTATTAAGGAATTAAAAAAGAGAAGCAGGAATTAAAAAGGTCTGCGGAAACATTAGCATGCTGAAGCAACTTCTTCCTAAGGCATGACATACCTGTTGAGTTTTGTCTTATAGTAGTAGTAGCTTAGCACCCCAAGGACTTCCTGGGAAGACTTTCAAACTGGAGGACTTTGTGACCTTTGAGCCTTTATTTAGTACTACCTGATTTTCAGCACTTCTGCTGCTCTGCAGGACCAGACCCTCTACCAGTAACAGCCAGGTCAGCCTCTCAACAAAGCTGGGGCTCCAGCATGCCAGGCCACCAGTCAGTTTAGATCAGTATGAGACTGGGTAGTGTTTCCAACATCAGTTATGAAGGATGGGGTATGATAGTTTGAAGAGAAGCAGAGTTTTCCTGGTACTCTCCAAAGAAACATTTTTAATGCAGTTTGTGAAATCTCACTCACCTGGACATCAGCACTGAATGTGCCTTCTTAGAAAATGCAGCAAAGGCAAAGAAAGCCTAGATGGTGCAACGAGGTTGAAGAAACAAAAAAATAATCTGCAGAGCTAAAATAACCATAGTTCAGTTCTCATTTTAGCTCCATGGAGACGTGCAGGAGGGTTGAAAAGGAGAGCAGCAAAGGGGAATCTGGCTGCACGCTTGTAGTGACCAAGGGGTACAACAGAACTGTCATATTTTAGTTGTAGTGGCTGGTTCCAAATATTTGAAAACTTCTGAACCAACTTCTATGGTTTGTGTGGCTCTTTAATGTGCCAGTGTGAAGAAAAAAAAAAAAAAAAGCTAATCTGTGGGACAGGCTACTCACATTCAAATATGGAGATCCAAGAAGAATCATAACTTCATCTATGAGTTTTAAGAGAGTGAGAAATGTTGGGTCCTTATAGTCAAACCTGTCCCCAAACAGCATGACAAAGGTGACATTGATGGGAGCACAGTTGAAGGTCGGCAGGCTGAAAGGTTCCCCTGCAATGGGAGGAGGATGGGAACGTTAGGGAGATGTTGCAGCAGGAGGGACACATATGAGGCTGTACAGCAGCGTGGTGGCCTCCAGCTCACCTTTGAAGGATTTGATCATCTCAATAAGGAAGTGAAGCTCCTCGAAAATTCTCCCTTCTATCATTTTCTTGCCCATGCCGAGGTTGCGCATGCTGGACACGGTGAACCTCCGGGTTGTCCTCCACAGCTCCCCAATGGAGAAGAACAAGCCTGGAGGGGCCGTGAGACGTCACCGCTGGGCTCCAGCATGGAGGAGCCCCACCACGCAGAGCGAAATACAGGTCTGGGTGAGGAGGGGTCCCTACATGTGCTCCCTTCTGCCCAGTTTCCCATGGATGTGGGAACTAAGGGTCTTCCATTTCTGTATGCCCCATTCCTGTGTCCCCTCAGCTCTATTTTCCCAGTTTCACTGAGTCTCTAGTTTGGGAAAAACCAGCTCCCACCCAATCCAGTCTGCCCCAGCCCTCTCCTGAGTGCAAGATGAGCAGGTTTGGCTTTCAGACCAGGACTGGTTGGCTGTGGAGCTGGGGAGAGAGGTTGGTCTAAGTCAATCACACAACCTTTCTGCCCCTGTTTGGTTGGAAGTCTACAGCCTCAAGCAACACCCTTGTAGAAGCTTCACTGTAGAACAACCTTTGAAGCTTCTCCCTTTGTCCTATTCCAGTCATGAAGATATTTTATCTATGTGGGATGGAATAATCCAGTCTCCTCAACCATGGCCAGTGCTGACTGTTTTATGGAGATTCTCAGCAACACTGTATTTTCAGCAGTGGCCAAAAATACTACCACTCTGTAGAGGTGACTGAGCTCGTGCCTTGATGATCACTAGCCACCAAGTAGGGATGGGTATTTAATCCCATCAGAGTGTTAGAAATAGTGAAAGAAAAAAATTGTGCCAATCCAAAGTCTACCTCAGATTATGTCAGTTCAAAAACTGGATTCCAGCACTTCACGTCTTCATTTTAGCTGCAAAGTTTTCAAAAGTGTTTGTTTTTTCTAGACTAAACACTATTTTGGAGCTGTGTAGTTTTAGCTTGGAAAGCAAAATTTCTTTCTCTAAAATTGTCAAAGCAAATTTCTAAACTTTATTTTTCATTTGGCTTTAATCCAGGCACTTTCATCTGGATCATTCATTTTCTGCAAACAGCTTTCTGAAGGTAAAAAAAATATTTCATTGGAAAATTTGTGACCGTTGTTACTTAACAGCCCCTGTCACCTCTAAGTGGCTCAGACTTGGGCTGAGAAGGTAAGTGCAAAAGGACTTATGGTGCAATACTGACAGTCTCCCACTGGGATATTTTACAAGTAAATTAGCTCTGAAAAATGCTTTTCTCCCCATCGATTCCTTTTCCTTATGTAGCGATAAATTCATCTGTTGATATTATGGCTGGGTAATTTAATTTCTAATTGCAATCCCAACTCCAGCCTGTGACCAGCATATAAAGCTGCCTTTTGGATGCTCAAAGCTAAAGTCTTGGGTGAAGCAGAGGATGAGAAAACAAGGCAAAAAGTCCTTGAAAAAAACATGAGGTTATTTGTGGGGGGGAAATTTTCAACCTCAGCCTGTTGTTTCTGCCTGAACTTGTTTTATGTGGTCCACCCAAGAGCTTTTGAGGGGGGACAAGGCACAGGGGACTGATGATATCCAGAATTGTGGCTCCTGGCAGTGGGAGAAAGGGAAAAATCCTACAGCTCTGAACAGCCAAACCAGTTAGTCCAAAGACTCCTGAAACCCTGAGGAAGGTTTTAAATGTGGTGGTAGAGAGCCACTCTCATTGATGGAAATTAACCCCAGAATTCCCACAGTGCCTTTAAAAATCCCACTTCTCACCCTTGAACGTTTAGGATATAGATCAGCCGCGATAGCATTGGCAAGAATGATGGGAGTGAAAAGCCAGGAGGCATGGCATGAAAGCCAGGAAAGCCAAGAATTTTCTGTTGGCTTGGCTTCAGAAAGGTCCAAGGGGGATGTTTAAAAGCCAGGCTCTGGGGAAGCACAGTTAGCCTGGCAGTAAGAGGTGGTGTCATCCCTCCCGCCCA